TGCTGATTTGGCGTGCCTGTTGGGACCCATATGGTTGGTATGATCCACCACCTCACCGGAGACGTAGAGTGCTCAATTCTTAGTTAGATCGCTCAACAGGAGTTTCCAGGAGAATCGTGTGTTGGACAGTTCGCCAGAAAAACTATTAAAGGAGATGTTGAGGGCAACGAGGTTTTGAAGTCTAGTAAGCATGTCTACGTTTTCCAACTAGCTGGAGAATTGAGTTGGAATTTCACATGAAAGGTGATTGCAGCTGAGATTAAGAGAGATCTCGAGCGTAAGGATTTGGGCCAATTCTTTGGGTATTTTGCCCAAAAAGCGATTGCCACCCAGATTTTATTAACTGTAGCTTGATGCAGGATGCCAACTCCACCGGAATTCCGGAATTCTAAAAAAAAAAAAAAAGCCTATTCTTTAACAACCATCTTAGCCTATTATCTGATATATCAAGAAAACAAAACATAGAACCAGTGAGACCATTGGAATGGAGGTTAAGAAACTCGAGGTTTTCACATCCAGAGATTGACAGAGGAATTCCATTAGTAAATATAATATCCATGTCTCATCTCACAAAGATAGAGTGTCATCAATGGTTGACACCATAACCATGAGAACACTCTGAATATCTAATTCATTATATAATGTAAATAATGGGTGTAAACGGTGATGGAGATGTAGTGGACTTAGAAGTTTTTTTCATGTTGTTTATAGTTTGACAACGTAACCATAAAAGGGTATTTTAGAATTTTTAAAAAATATATCAGTCACATGTGAATGGAGTGTGACAGAAAGTTAACAGCAAGGGAGGTTTTAGACAATTATTAAAAAACTTAAGAATATCTTAAGACAATATAGAAACAATAAGAACATAATTAGTTAATTTCCTAAATCATAGGGGTACTTTAAGAAATTTGCCTTTAAATTAATGGTTAGGTTCAAACCCTCTTATTTGTAATTTTCATACTAAAATTTATAGGTTATACAAACTCTACCGGTGCCACCACCTATTGGCATGCCTAAAAAGTAAAAAATGATATATATCTTCTAATACAAACCAATATATTGTGATATTTTTGAACCTTGGCAATGGGTTGAAATAAAAAAAAAAATGTTCACTTGAATTTGATCAAAATGTTGGAAAATGGGGATTTCATTCATTTATTTTCTCCAAAGTTATTATTAAAACAAATTAAAATCAATACTATATAAAGAACATTACAAGTTATATTAATAAAACAATGAAAATTTATTGAAAAAAATTTTGCGCAAAATTCTTAAGATTGCAAAAAAAAAAAAACAAAAATCAAAGGACCAAAATTCCAAAAAATCCCAAAATTTAAAGCCTTGTACGCGTCAAGGATGATAAATCATAAAGGATTAATTGCTTATATATACCCTGGATATTTGAGAAACTAATTGTATTATACCCCAAACTTATAAAAATAACTTATATGTACCTTGTTGAACTTTTCAAGGTTAAATACAACAAATAAAATTTAAAAGACAAAAATATCTCTGACTATTTATTAAATTTTCAAAATGTCATTTTCTTTCTTATTTTACTCTCCCTCTCTCTCCCTCCACTTTTTTTTTCTCCATTATTTTCAACTGCAAACACCACTACTAGATATGCAACAATACAGTAGCGTTCATCATTCACCTCTGTTGTAGCGCTACTATAGCTTGTTAGTTTTTTTAATATATTTTCCTATTTGTGTGTTCATTTTTTTATATTTCTTACATACGTGTTTAGTTCAGTTCAATCAAAAACCATCTAAAGTGAATTATTCTCCCAATTTAAGCTATCATCGCAGGAAACAGGATCTGCTCCTCACAAATGGGTGCCTCATAGACACATCCACCGTGCATTGGGAACATCTCCCGTGGTTAATAACTAACAAATTCAGAAGATGTTCTCAATGCATGGTAGGATGCACGTGTGAGGAGCAGATCCAGCCTCCCATTGCAGGCGCTTCTGCACATCTAATCCTTTTTGGTTCCTGACAGTTGGCAGTAGTTTTATTGATGCAGCGCTCTGGTGGAGGTTTCCGAAACTGTAGACAATTCTTTTATGGGAGTTTGGATATTCTCCTCACACTGACCTCACAGGCACATCTCACAATGTATTAGGGGCATCTTCTATATTTGTGTATTATTATTTATGGGAGATGTTTTCAGTATTATTTATGTGAGGTGCACTATTAATTTGGAGCATATCCCAATTTCTTTTAGGGAGACATTTCATTTGAAATACTCAAAGGGTAGGTTGAATCATTTCCTAGTCGAATTCAGATCAATCTCTCATCCAGATGGAAGATCTATAGTTGGTGCAAAGAGAGTACAAATACAAATATGTACAATATAGATATATATTAAGTAATGCATAATACAAGGTTTTACACTCTACATATTTGCATTCATATTCCTAAAGTCCAAGCTAAGCCTTAGGTTTCAATTTCATTTTTCTTTGGGGGCCGAGCTTTGTTATGAATCCCATTTTATAGAGACAAAAATTGTTTAATCTGTTATAAAAGAAATGTTTAATCTATAATCTATTTGAGTAAAAAGATGTCTTTCGTGCAGTTCTAACGTAAAAGTTGAGATTTTGAAATGGTTTAATGGGCATATAAAAACAATACTAGCGTTTTCTTACGTAAGTTTGTTGATAAGGCATGTTTAAGTTAGGTTTTTTCTTTTTTAACCAAAAAAAAGTTCGTTTTGAAAGTAAGCAGTTTATCAAACATACATACATGTTTATATAATTAATTAATCCAATCATAAATCCTCCAAATCCAATTCGGTGGCCCAAGTCAGAACCCAGAATGTGAGAAGTCAAAAGTCAGAACTTGTGACGGAATTAATAATAGGCCTTTTTACCGTCCACTCCACTTCAGAATTCATATGAACTGAACTCAAATTATTCCTTTAGCAGTATTTGAAAATAATACAAATAAGTGTCAAAGTAAATGTAGACTGTAAAACAGTTCATACAGATTGTAAAATTGTGTTAGTTTTGCATTGATAAATTTATCTTCTTACCAAACATACTTTTAACTGTAATTGATGTAAACATGAATTCCAATAAAACATACGTTTTTTTAATAAAAAACCCACTTGAATGCAAATTTACTTCTTGCACTTTTACATCTTATTATTAATGTAAATATACATTGATATGTCATTTGTCAATGCATAAGTGTAATGTTGCCAAACACAGGCAAAAGTAAATCAAACTATAAATTTACCCTGAATCAGAATTTACACTTCATTATCGTTTCCAAACACAGCCTTAATAATATTAAGTTTGTTTGCCGTGTAAATAGAAAACTACACCGAAAAAGTGTATTACAAGAGTTAGAATTATCAATGTAAAAAGTGAATCGGCCTTGTGCTCGTTTTGCACTCTTGTGCGTTTGGTGGAACGATATAAAACCTAGTGTAAACAATAGAGATGACTGATAATAAAGCGAACTAAAGCGAGCAATAGAGAGGACTGATAATTTCGATTCAGAGCAAGTCATAAGGGAACTTATGTGTAAGTGCCATTAGCCAGTTCAATTGGCGCCAATGATCCGAAACCTCTGAACCAAGCACGGACACCAACGATGGTATATAACGCCCAGAGCCACGGGCGACTTCCTTGTCCTTAGATCCTCTCTCTGGTCAATTTCCTGATTTCCTTCACCACAATCTCCTCTTCCCAGCTCCTAAAGTAAAGTTGCTTTATGGATCTCTGCAGCATGAAAGGTGAAGTTTCTTCCTTGGTTTTGCTCTCCTCCATTCCGTTTGTCTTGGTCTCTTCTTTCTTATCATCTCCATTTTCCGTTTTAATGTCTTCTATTATAAACTTGTCGAATCTATCAGATGCTCCGTAGCACGCCAAAGGTGTCCTCTGTAAGAAGATTGAAACCACAAGGGGGGTGAGACGGAACAATTTTGGAGGATAAGAGAGATGTTATATCTTTACATCAATGGAGAGAAAGGTTCAAAAAATTGTTATGTATCAACCGATATGGGTTGATATATATCGTATCGGGCCCTTCCCGATACACCCCTACAGGGATTGTATCAGGTCAGGGCCTGGTTCAGAGGGTAGCTGGGACTTAAACCGGCCCCTCTGAACCAAAATCGAAAAAAAAACAAGTGGAAGTTAAAAAAAGGGCTGATATACTAGTAGGGTGTATCAGCCAATATCGATACTTTGAACTTTGATGGAGAGTTTGATGAATTTTTTACATCAAATTTTTATATAAATTTATATCAATTCTCAATGTAAAAGTCTATCTAAGAGCTATTTTACATTGATTATCATCATTCTTATTTTACATTTTACCCAAACACCCGCAAGCAAATGAAGCCTGATCATTTAAATATATTGAATCTTTTAACATGGGAAAGAAGAATTGAGATTTGCTCCTCACATAAAGCACCTCACACCAACCTTACAGCACTTATCCACGAGCAAGATTTAGCTTAAAGTGCTGTTTAGTGGGCTGTGGAATCAATGATGAGGTTCTATGCTATTATTAAATACATGAAGCCCATGAATTTATTATCTCATTATTAGTTTCACAGTCTCTTGAATATGTTAAAGTTCAAATCGACCCCCACAGAATGCACCCTAAAAACGTCCCACATTCTAACCGTATCCTATGGGAACATCTACCGATAACAAATACAAGAGATATTCTCAATACCATATGGGGCGCATTCTGTAGGGTCAGATGTGAATTCTCAGCTAATTCGAATTTCGTATCCACCGACCACCGTGTATTATGAAACAACACGCAAATACGAAAGATGTTCCTCGTATGCGTCTGGGATGTGAGGTTGGTCTGGGGAGCGCTCGAGCAGATCCGGACTCGGAATAGCGTTGGTTTAAAACCGTGAAATCACGAACTTCATATCTTCGATGCATTCTGTGACCCCCACCTTACGTCACTCCATCTAATTCAATTCAAGGTGGGCCACATCAATGTATTAAAGGCGGTAATTCACAGTTTTTGCCCATAAACGAAACGGGAGTAGCTGATTTTGAGCCAAGAATCTCGTATCTTTCCTCAAATACGAACTAGGGTTTCAAATCGACCTTTCGACCTCCGGACCTTATTTCTTTCTAGACAGGCTTCTGCTATCTCTGTAGACCTTCTCTCAATCTCTACTACGCTTATCGAGCTTCCAAACTCTTGAGGGATCCGCGTCGATGCCTCCCCGAACGGTGAAGAAGGGATCGGCCGCGCCTGGCCCGAAGAGAACACCGAGGGCGACTAAAGCGACGCCGAAGCCCCAAACTCAACCGGAAGTAACAGAAGAGACAGTGAAGATCGATGAGGTTTCGGTTTCTGTAGCTGAAACTGAAGAGGTGAAGGTGGAGCCGGTTGTTGAAGAAAAACCGGAGAAGACTGAAGAACCTGAACATGAAGTTAGACCTGACACGAGCGGAAGTTTTTCTGTTAAAGGTAAGACTTTCTTTTTTTTTTTTTTTTTGATCTGGAATATCATCAGGTTGTTGTTTTCTCTTTGTTTAGTCTAGATTCCACGCCTTTGGATATCTGTCATTAACTTATAAATTTTAATTTATGAATTTGTGAAAGAGCATATTTACTATATAATTATAAGCTGTCCTTTTTTGTTGACAGATTTTTGGTTTCTTCTGTATCCTTTATCTTCTATACTTCAGCCTTTTATTTGGATATTTTTCCTAAAGTCCCTTTTCTTTGAAAATGGTTAATGTCTTGGGTTTTCTTATCTTAACGTGGAAAGATGCTTTTTTTTTTTCATGTAGTTCTCTGCCTTTTTGGTTTCTCTTTGGTTTCTACCTTCTGGATGCATCTTAATAGTAAATTATAGGTGATGGAATGATTTCTTGGTGTTTATTTATCATAAAGGAGAATGGCATCTTAGATTTGTCCTCACGTCTGTTAAGTGAAAGTCTGTTACATGCCATAACGGCTCTTCTTTCTTATAGTAGGTTCTAATTTGAAAGCTCTTCAAAAATAAATAAATAATTAATATTCCCCTCAATCAATTGAATTGAAACTTCCCTATTGATATGAGAACCTACTTGTCATTGATAGGACTACAAACAAGTATTTACCTGTTTCTATGACAGCTGAAGATGATTCCAAGGAGGATTTTGATGTAGATGACAAAGGTGAACGGCTAGAGCTGGAGGATAATGAACCGGAATATGAACCTGAAGAGGATGGTGGGGTGGATTATGATGAGAAGGAAAATGAACACGAGGATGTTCAGAAAGGAGGAGATGATGGTGAAGAGGCTGAGGACGGTGACGTAGAAGAGGAGGATGATATGGTTGAGGAGGAAATGGAAGATGTTGCTGAGGAAGTTGAAGGCGAAGAGGATGGAGAGAATGGTGAGGAAGAGCGGGAAGAAGTTTTTGATGAAGAGGAGGAAGAACATCATGAAGTTGTTAAAGAAAGGCGTAAGCGTAAGGAATTTGAAATTTTTGTTGGGGGTTTGGACAAAGATGCAACTGAGGATGATCTTAGGAAAGTCTTCAGTCAAGTAGGTGAAGTTACCGAAGTCAGGTTGATGATAAACCCTCAGACTAAGAAAAACAAGGGATTTGCATTCTTGCGTTTTGCAACTGTGAAACAAGCAAAGCGAGCTGTTACAGAGCTCAAGAATCCAGTGGTACTTTTCTAAATCTTATCAAAGTTAAAAGACTAATGTGTTTTTACTTTGTATGTGTTATTAAATTTTCTTAATGATCATCCGTCCAGATCAATGGTAAACAATGCGGTGTTTCTCCAAGTCAAGACAGTGATACACTTTTCTTGGGAAACATATGTAAGACATGGACCAAGGAAGCAGTGAGTAAGCTGGACCATTTTATGTCCTTGTCATTTATCTATGGTGGGCTAATTGAGATTATTGACCATGTTGTCTACATTTGGTTTCAGTTAAAAGACAAGTTGAAACATTATGGCATTGAGAATATTGAGGATTTGACATTGGTTGAAGATAGTAACAACAAGGGAATGAATCGTGGATTTGCTTTTTTGGAGTTCTCATCTCGTTCAGATGCCATGGATGCTTATAAGCGTCTCCAGAAGAGGGATGTTGTTTTTGGAGTTGATAGGCCCCCAAGGGTTTCTTTTGCAGATTCTTTCATTGATCCAGATGATGAGGTCATGAAACAGGTGAAATATCAAATCAACATTCCTCTGTAGGTAGATAGGATTAAAACATCTCAATTGGGTTAGACAGATTAATTTTATGACCTTTATATTGCACAATGTTAAGAGGAATGCTATATGATGCTAGTTCCTTCAGAATACCTAATGAAAAATCTGTTTCATTTTCCTGCTTGTAACTCCAACTCAAAGAACCAAAGTAATATTGAAAATGCTGATAAAGAGATGACCTTGGAAATGGAAGACAAAATATGCATTTGATTTAATTGGATGTCAAACCTTATTAGGCCATGGTATCCAACGCCAGATTCTTTGTGTTGATGTGTATAACATGGCTAGGTTTTGGGAGGTAGTTATTTTTTTAGATGATAGCTCTATGAATTGGCAGTCTGTCTATTTGCATTTATTTTGATTTCAGGTTCTTTATCCTGAGATTTTTAAACACGGCTACCTTGTCCAGATATATTTTAAACAACAGTTAAGGTCTCATTTGTGTATACTGGATCATGTTTGTATCTTGTGTTGCTGCAATCTCTTTCCTGGTCTTGATGAATTCAAGAAATGTGAAGTTGATAATGTACTACTGTTTCATACTTTAGGTTAAAACAGTGTTTGTAGATGGTTTGCCTTCTTCATGGGATGAAGATCGTGTAAAGGAATATCTCAAGAAATTTGGGAACATTGAAAAGATTGAGCTTGCTCGTAATATGCCATCAGCCAGGAGAAAAGATTTTGGCTTTGTAACTTTTGGAACCCATGATGCAGCAGTTGCATGTGCTGAGGGCATTAACAATGCAGTGCTGGGTGAGGGGGACAATAAGGTATCCCATTGTATTTAAAGACTTGCCCGTTTTATTTCATAAGTGGGAAGATGTGGTGTTTGGCTGCTGCTTGGTTGTATTTGTTTCTTTGATAGTTCTTTGCTTTCAGGCAAAAGTAAGGGCAAGGTTATCACGGCCAGATCGCAAAGGAAAAGGTAAGCATTCTCTTCGTGGAGAAACTCGCTATGGGCGAGGCTCTTCACGAGGTGTTAGGGGTCCTTGGGGTCGTCCTGCACCCCGTAGCCTCCCCGGACGTGGTCCAAGAGGAATTGGGGCACGTGCAGCACCAGCTAGTGCTCGTGGATTCAAGAGGTCTTCAGGATTTAGAGACAGCCGTCCTGTTGTGGCTGATACAGAAAGAGTTAGGGCCTTGTCTCCCCCAGAACGATCTTATGCTAGAAGGGCTCCTGGTATGCATCCTTTTCCTTTCATGTTTTAGATGGCTACAAGTTGTATCTAAACATTGATATTATTTTAATTTTTGTCTTACACTGCTGGTGTGTGCTTGTCTTACACTGTTGGTCCCAAGCCCAAATAAAGTAGGGATATTTTAGGTTGGCAGCTGGCTCTAAAACCTGCCAAACCCTTGTGACATGGATTCTGATTTCTATTTATGACGAGACATGATTCATGTTGCTGACCCCATATATTTGGGATGACTTTGATGATGAAGATTTTAATGCTATGCCTTTCTGTTGAAACAGTTCCTTCTTACCCAAAAAGCAGTTTAAAGAGGGATTATGGTAGGTATGATGAGTTTCTTCCAAGAAGCAGAGCTGCTGCAGAGTATGGTTCTAGGGTTGCTATGGAGAAGCGGTCATCCTATAGGGATGACTATCCTTCACATGGACCTGTTTTTGGTGATGATGTGCCTCAAAATGCTTCACGCATGGCATCAAGGAGAACTTCTCTAGATGAAGGGTATGCACGAAGGTATGAAAGGCCTCTTTCAAGTTACCATGAAGGGCGCACTCGTGATTATGATTTGATCCCTGGTTCAAAACGTCCATACTCTGCATTGGTTAGTCATTTTTTTATTATTCATTGTTTCTTCATTTTGTACTGTCAAGTTCTTTTTCCTTTTGTGCTATAGATTTTCCCACCTCCCCATCCTAGCCCAGAAAATAGAGGTTTAAAAATTATGGGTAACTGTTTTGGAAAAGGATGATGTTCCTCCACGGTATGCTGACGGTGGTCTTCGCCAGTCAAGAACTCGTGTAGACTATGGAGTTGATGGAAATGCTTCCCAATATGGAGATGCTTATGGTGACAGGTTATCTGGATCTTTGGAACTAATTTTCTGGTCTGTTGCTCTTCATTTGGAGCTTGTCTTGTTCCAGAACTTACACACTCTATTTTGGTTGTTAGGCTTGGGAGATCTCAGTTAGGATATGGCAGTGACAGAAATTCTTTCTCAGGTCATGAGTCACATGGACTGTATGGTAGCCGCCAGGGTATGAGTTACAGTAGAGGTAAATTAAGGATTGTTAATAGGGTTTAATTTGCAATTGCTAATGTAATGGTCTTTCACCCATGCTTGTGGTTATGCTTCTTGATGCTTAATGCTTCTATGCTTTTGGTATGTGGTGGTTTCTAGGTTCTTATAGTACACATGATGCTGGTGGAATGTATTCATCAAGTTTTGATGACGATTACATGGCCCGTGGACCTGATGTAAATAAAATACTTTCTTTTATTCAGTAATGTTGATATTAAGTTGAAAATTTTATATACATCTCTTGTTAATTTATTTTACATTGATATTGCAGGTTGGCGGTGGTTCATATTCTTCATTATATTCGAGCCGTGGGTTGGGTGGCAGTGGATACCTGGGTGGCAGTGGTTCTGGATCATATTATTGAGGCAAGTCTTGTTTTGTATCATACACCTTTTTGTGTTTTAAGTTATGGTGCATGTGGACGCACATGACTGCTGATTCATTGATGCATGCTTAGTTAAATTTTTTTTGTAACAAAGAGGCGTTTCTTTGGTTTTCCTATAGCGTTTTGATTGGCAACAATGGAGGATGGTGGTCACATGTGAATTTGTATCTGACACAGATTTAACATGACAAGAGCTTGCTGTAGGCCATGGGTTATTTGAAGCCTATTCATAAAGATGCCTCCAGAGTCTTGGGGAGAAAGCACATATTTAAAGAGCATATGTAGCCTATCAGTTATTTTGAGAGGACTGGGATTTGAGTGTTGAATTTTACAATGCAAGAGGTGCATTTTCAACCATAGATGTGGGTTTTATTCCAGTCATATTTCATACTGTAAGGATCTTTGAGTGATTGGGAGTTCAGAATAAGAAAGCATACTATGTGGTATGTATGACGTGCATATTATTTCTCTCACTATAAGAACTCCATTTGATGGACAAAGAGGTTGTATGCTTCATTATAAGTTGTCAATGGGCAAAACAGTTGGCATACATGAAAGCATGAGGTGCTCCATAATGAGTTTTTGTTTTGGATAGTTTTCATTCTTCAAAATTCCTGGGTTAACGATTAGCTCAGAATTACAGGAGGCATTGATGCCATGTTTGATCAAACATTACTGTCAATAGTGCAGCCATGAACTAACTTGGAAGAAGTTTTCAATGAGTTATCCTATACTAAACGGAACCATGATTCAATGTTTCATCATCTTTAAGCACTGAATATGTGCCTATATACTGGTTAGAGGACTTATGCCCCAAGTTTGGTAGAGAATATAACTGGATTAACAAGCTGACTCTTATTCAGGTATGCCCCTCTTGTAAGGGGTATGGGGAAATTGCTAGCTAAAAGAATATGGTTAAGTTATAGATTTGGCTAATCAGAGCCCTTAAGATGAAAACTCATTGTGAACAGAGCAATTAAATTTAGCAGGAAATAATTCACAGCAGTAGTAAACTAGAAATCATGTTTCAAGATCATTACTTGTGAAGCACAAGTTAACTTTAGACATTTGATCCCAAAAGTTAGATGGGTTCTAGGAATCAAATTGCCTTTGTGGTTGCAAATTGTTCTGCTTCCTATTTACCATGTTCTTTGGTTTTGGGTTTGGGAGGTTAGTTACAGCACAAAGAACCATCATAATGATAATGTGTGTACTTACTGGCATAGGATCTCTGGTGCCGTTCCCATTCTTGGTTTTCATTGTATTTTTTGGTATGCTATATAACCACTGGAGATGGATTAAACTCTTTTATTAGGGAGTGCTTTTGATCATTACATGGGAGAATTTCTTAAGTTCTTTGACAGGCTTGATTTATAATTGAATCAGGGGATTCATGTGATAATAATAGCAATGTGACTAGGAGACTTGCTTTGGGTCTCTATCATGGTAACTGTAAATGGACAAAAGAATTTATTTTTGAATCATAAGGAGCACTTGAAGTTTCTAGAGTGGACTGCTAATACCTAAATGTATATATGGTCGCCTGATTTCTATTGGTGATTCTCTGATCATTATTGAATTAGTTGCTTCTCATTTGAAAGTAGTGACCGGAAGGTGCTAGGGTTATCAATGGTGATCCATATTTTACCTCTGGTTGAGTTTGGATCTGCTTTGTAGTCAGGGCTGTTTTGTTGTGCTGGTAATTTCGTATAGAAATTTACTTTTTTTTTCCTTAGTTTTTGGTTATTTTTGCCATATGTTAGGATCAATACATCTTTCTTACTGAAGGTAATTCCTCATAAGTACTGAGAAATGGGTGCTCTTAGTATTTTATTATTTGGTGTCATTAGTTGTAAAAGATGTTTATAATTCGGACTTGTTGGTTAGCGAGGGTTTTTTTTTTTATTCAAGAAAATTCCTTTGAACCTAAAGGCTTCCAAGTTGAGTTTGAGGGCAACAAGATTAACACTAAATCTTTGTTTGCTTGGATTGTCAAGTGGGTTTAGTTTGAGCAAGATCTTGTACTGGCGAGCCTACCACTTAAATATATTGTTCAACTTGAGATGGGATGAGGGTTGGATTTTGGTTGGTCGGTCTAGTTGTATATCTGCATTCGTATGCATTCATAGATCTGTCTTTGGAATCTATTGGCAGATCACATATGTTTATATTGCAGCAATGAACTTCAATTCCTATATTTACTAGTGTTGGGAGTATATTCCAAATTAAGCTAGGTAATTACATCTTATTATCAATTTTGATGATATTTTTTGTTTTGTAATAAGCTAGATGAATGAACCTTTTTAACTGATAAATAATCAATTAGATTGTTTGAAGAAAAAGGTCTGGTTGATTTTTGAAGTGTTTCACAGGAATTAGAAACTGATAAAATAGGTACGCTCTTTGATTTGTTCTCTGTAAACGTTCTTGCCCCTGGATGTTGCTTCCAAAGTAGTCTTCGTATTCCTTTCTGGTCTATCAAGTTTTCTTTTGTGCAAGACTGTTTGGTCGGAAGGATTGAAGTCCTTGTTGAACTCTTATCTTGATATTGAAATCATTCTGCATTTCAATTTCAAATGGAACTATACTTTCTGGGTCTACCGCTGTTGATGGTGGTAGCAGAAGTGTCTTACTCAGGTTTCTCAATTCATAGACTTCACAGAGTCTAGTCATGGTGGAACTTTTTGTTTTTGGTAAATTGATTTTCTCAACAGTCTGAGGGCACTTTTGCAGCTGTGCGAGGGTATGCTGATGATAGGGCATGCCATACGTTGACATTGTAACATGTACATGTTTACGCTTTGTACATGCACTTGCCATGTGCAATGTAATGAATAAGAAGAATGGCCTTATCACACTATTTTTGCTATTTTTTTTTTTTTTCGTTCAGAAAGTATTCGTAGATGTTTATTTGTTCTAATTTGATTTGTTTGCTCTCGGTTTTAGAACTTGTCCATGATGTGGGTTAAGGACGGACATACATAACAGGGAGCCTGTTTGTTTTTTGGATTTTTGGAGGGGGAAAGTTGGTCAATAGGTTTTGATTTATATTGACCGACATACTCGTGTTCTTTACTCCGATTTATTTAGGATCCATGGTCCCTATGTATCACTTACCCAGTGGGTGATACCCATTTCCCAGATGATTAACTAATTTTTCCACTTACAACACTTTCATGGGACAAAATTGTCCCATTTAATAATGACTTTTTATAACTAAAACAGTCGTTGTCTTGTTTACCTAGGAAATAAAATATGGTAAATGCACTTGCGTAAATAGCTTCCTAAAAAATGAACGGGCCTAAATGTGTTGTGCTGATTTTTTGAGGGAGATATTGCCCAAGTAACCTGAAATTCACCAATAACGCCTTCAGAAGTAGGCCTGTAATTAAATCCGAGTTTGATCCGACTTTAAAAGTCAGCGTCCATTTTCAATCTAAAATCTAATTGTATCTACGAGAAGCAAGTCAGCGTCCATTTTCAATCTAAAATCTAATTGTATCTACGAGAAGCAAATTCGAATTTGAATTTGATCGGATATTGGATTTCATTTGAGTTGGCAAGAGGTTATAACAATTAAGTATAAAATTAGACTGTTTGGTTTGAAGGAAATGGTAGGGAAAGGAAGGGAAGCCTATACAAGGTTTGTAAGGGTTTCCCTTCCCCTTCATTTCTCTTCTTTTTCTTTCAAGCCAAACACAACCTTAAGAAGCTCTCAACCCACTTAGGGGGGGTGTTCTACATCCTGCTGGTTTTTGTTTTTACTCAAACGCAAATAAACTTTACGAGATACAAGCTCACTGAAAAAGAAAAATAAATAAAAATAACACTGAAATTCAACACCTCACTACACTTACCCCATGATCAAAGGCAAATTACATCATACAAATTCCTAACAAGTGCGATCAAAATATTCATCAATTGATGCTAAGCCTCAATCCTTTGAGCTAAGGCCTCAACCTCGGCAATGTTCGAGCTTCCTCATTTCCTCCAGCTCCATCTTTTAGAAAGGTGCACAAATAGCAATTAAGAGATTCTTTCAGTTTTTTTTTTTTTTTTTTTTTTTTTTTTTTTTTTTTTTTTTTTTTTCAGTTATCTCATTTTTGTTTCCAATGTTAAGAATGTAAGCTATGAAATTCATGCAATTGAAGGATGTTCATTTAGACTTGTCGGTTTCTAGTTAAGCGGTTCCACTGTCCGGGTCAAACAGTTCAATCCTTGATGTCATAAATAAATTAAAAATAAGAAATATTTACAAATAATAAAAAATAGCATAAAATCAAATAAAATAAGAAAAAATACAGAAAAACACAGAAAATAAAATTGTCTAAATTCAATAATAATACAGTACAAAACACATAGAAAATGTAAAAATAAAATACAGAAATATTCTAAAAAATACAGAAAAAACAAAAAATAAAAAAAATAAAGAAAAAAACAGAAAAATAAAACAGGAAATTGCAAATAAATAGATTAAAATACAGGAAAAATAGAACAGAAAAGTGCAAATAAATAAAGAAAATACTGAAAAATAAAACAGAAAAGTGCAAATAAATACAAAAACAAAAAGAGAAAAATAAAAACAAAAAGTGTAAACAAATACAGAAAAATAAAACAGAAAAAACAGAAATATTAAACAGAAAAGTGATAATAAAAATAGAGAAACAAAACAGAAAATTGCAAATAAATACAGAAAAAACAGAAAATAAAACAAAAAATTGCAAATAAATACAGAAAAAATCGGGCTTGCCGTCGGTGGACTCGCCCGGCGGTGGTGTGACGGTGGGCTCCGGTGATGGTGGTGTGGGCTTGGGCTTGGTTGCAGGTGATTGCCGTTGCAAGTGCTGCTGCAAGCCTGCAATTGTTACTACTGCTAGAAACCCCCGCCTGTCACTGCAAAATCGCTGGTTGTCACTGCAAGTCGATTGCTAGACCTGTTACTGCCGCAACTGTTACTGCTGGACGGATGGACCTGTTGCAAAATCAATGTTGGCCACTGTAGATGAAGCTCACCGCCATTGCCGGTCGCTGTGAATCGCTGTCGGTCGTTGTGTGTTGCCGTCAGACGCCGTAGGTCGTGGCTGCCGCAGGTGGTCAATTGGGTGTGAAGGCTGAGAGGAGGGAAGGGTTAGAACGAAAATGTGGGTTGTTCTAACCCTAACCATTAGTAAGATTTGGGGTGGGGATATGAGAGTCATTTTATTTTTTATTTTTTTCTATTTTATTTATATCAGCAAAAAGAAAAAATGATAACCCGTGAATCGCTGCCCGGGTTCAACGGTTTAGCAGTTCGATCGCCTGGGTTAGCGGTTTCCTGACTTTTTCAATGTTTTTAAAGAATTTCTGGTTTACAATATAACTGGACCTGGGGGACCGACCGGTTACCGGTTTTTCTGGTCCGGTTTTGAAAACCATGGGTTTTAGTAATCATATATTGTTATTGTTTACATCAATATGGCACAATGTTCAAATAATTGTAACAGAAGAGAAAGGTAATTAGGCCCAACTTACATATTAATTGTTGACAACAAAGACATTCCAAGTACGCATGAATTCA